AGCTTAATTGTTCGGCAATGACTAGTCTTGTTTCGCTTGATTTGTCTACCAATCGGTTCAGTGGGAAGATTCCCGATAACTTACCTTCCTGCCCACGACTAAAGACTTTAAATTTTGCGAAGTTCAACTTCGCTGGGCAAATCCCAGAAAGCTTCAAGAATTTTCAGAGTCTTTCTCACCTTTCCCTCTCAAACTCCAGTATTTCCAATCTTACAGCGGCTCTTGAAATTTTACAGCATTGTAGAAAATTGACCACTCTGGTTCTTTCTTTGAATTTTCGAGATGAAGCAATGCCAACTTTTTCTAGGCTACAGTTTACTAGGCTCGAGGCTCTTCTTATTGCCAACTGCAGACTGACGGGTACAATTCCTCAGTGGTTGAGTGGGTGTACGAATTTGCGACTGCTGGATTTGTCCTGGAACCGTATGGAGGGTACAATTCCACCTTGGTTCGGCAATTTCCAATTTATGTTCTACTTAGATTTATCGAACAACTCTTTTACGGGGGAGATTGCAAAAGAACTTACTAGACTACAGAGCCTCATCTCTGGCAATTTCTCATTGAAGGATCCATCCGTGGATTTCCCATTTTTCCTGAAAAAGAACGTCAGCCATGAAGCTTTATCGTATAGACAAATTTTAAGCTTTCCTCCTACTTTGGAACTTGGTAATAACATTTTCACCGGACCAATTTGGCCAGAGTTTGGCAATCTGAAAGGATTACATATTTTGGATCTGAAATGCAACAATTTGTCGGGGTCCATCCCCAGTGAACTTTCCCGCATGACAAACTTAGAAACTTTAGATTTATCCCATAACAGTCTGAATGGGACGATACCTCTTTCTTTAGTTAACCTCAGCTTTTTGTCCGAGTTCAGTGTTGCTTATAATAAACTGCGTGGAGCAATTCCTACTGGAGGCCAGTTCCTTACCTTTTCAAACTCAAGCTTTGAAGGGAACCCAGATCTCTGTGGTGAGAATGGTACTTATCCTCGTCCCAATGGCAATCAAGTACCAGATCTATCAGCGAACAGATCAGGAATACCAAAAGGCACTATTATTGCAATGGCTGTCAGAATTGGACTCGGAACTGTTTTTATTGTTTACTCTTGTGTCCTCGATCATTATGTGTGCAAGTAGTCGAAAAGTTATTGATAATGAATGGCCAATGGACACGTGCAAACCGAAAAGCAGACGTGATTCGGTCTCTTGGGTGATTCGAATGAAAAGCGAAAAGAGGGAAACCGAAGTGTTTGATCCATTTATTTATAACAAAGAAAATGCTGATGAAATGTTATGGGTTCTCGAGATTGCCTGCCTTTGCTTAAGTGAGTCCCAAAGATAAGGCCTTCTACAGAGCAGTTCGTTTCTTTGCCTGATTCTGTATCTAGCGTTTCGTCAGAAAGTGGAAATTTGTTATCTTTCTGCTAAGCAATGATTTTTAATTTATACTTTCGTAATGAAATTTCCCAATCCTTCTTATTTGGCAGATGTCTAGTGTATATACTTTTATGCATTAATTCAAATGTAAACATGAAGAGATAGAGAGAGTACTCTTGACCCCCTGCAATAATACAAGCATCACTTCATGTATCCTATATGTTTTCTTGATGGAGAATATGTTATTTGTTAGTACATGCAAGTTAAATTCTTAAAATTTGAGGTCTTACATTAGCCAATTTGCATTACAAAGGGTAGGAAGTCGAAATTTCACCCATTTTTCTATTCTCAAATTCATTTGAGAAATTTGTGTTAACTTAGTCCGATAGTCAAGACTTGGTGTCAAGGACCGCAGCTTTACTTAGCCCCTTGACACTATCCCGCCGCAGTTTGCCCAACTTCGGCCGCACATTGTAAATATTACTTCAAGTTTGAGTTGTAATTTTCGTTTCATTGTAATAGTTATTTTAATTGTAAAATAGCTCTGATATTGGTAAAAGATTAGTATGATTCCTCGTCTTTTAAACGTCTACTCCCGTCACTTGGGTTTTTGTTCAGAATGCTATTATAGGGGGTATTAGTCATTCAAAAATCTTTCAAGATCACTGGTGTCCGCCCCCTGCACCAGCATTTGTAATTTTCTGCTTTCATCAATTGTAATGTTCAGTTTTCATCAATCAATATTCAATTTACTTTCAATGTATTCAAATTCTCAATTGTAAGCTTTCTACAAAATTGCAATCAAATTTTCTTTCGTCTCGACGCGACCGAGAAAAGGCGGAAGGTAGTCTGGCGGAGCAAACTACTGCCACACGGTGTCCCTTTCTGTGCCAAGAAGAAAGGCACCCTGTGAAACTTGGGTTGGCCGGGCACAACTCCACAAGTGTGGTGTGTTGTAGAATGACTTGCCAAGTCTCCTCAGTGGTTATCCTTTTTTTAGAATAATAGAATTTGGCTTGGTGGTGGCCCCGTGGATTATTATAGATCTCGTGTTTTTTTTCCACTAACTGATTTAACTTGATATAGAAGTGTTGAACTGTACTATATCATGTTAAATATATTAGTTTTATTTTAGAGAAAATTTCATAACTAAGAAATTAATTATGGCACATTTCAAAAACAAGTTTCAAATTTATAAAATCAAATTTTTATTAAAAATTATTTATAATTTAATCAGTTAATTAATTATTTTATTAATTAAATATATTTAGGTTACGAATCTATACAATTTGGTCACAAATTAATAATATAATTAGTTACTTATTATTTTTTGGTCACAAATCAAAAATTTTATGTCACAAATTTTTTTACGTTCACAATTCAAAAATTTTGTAAGTCACAGTTTTTTCGTTGGTAACAAATTAAAAAATTAATTAGTCACGGATTAATTTTTAGTCACGACTTATCATATTATTGGTCACAACTTATTTTTCGGTCACAAATCAAAGAATTTATAGGTCACAGAATATTTTTGGGTCACAAATCCAAAAATTTTATAGATCACAGATTTGTTCGAGGTTACAAATCAAAATTTTGTAAATTACAGATCACATCATTGATCACAAATTCAAAAAATTATAGGTCGCATAATATTTTTGGGTCACGAATCTAAAAATTTTATAGGTCACAGATTTGTTCGAGTTCACAAATCAAAATTTTATAAGTCACAGATCACATTATTGATCACAAATTCAAAAAATTATAGTTCGCAGAATATTTTTGGGTTACGAATCCAAAAATTTTATAGGTCACAGACTTGTTCGAGGTCACAAATCAAAGAATTTATAGGTCACAGAATATTTTTGGGTCACGAATCCAAAAATTTTATAGATCACAGATTTGTTCGAGGTCACAAATCAAAATTTTGTAAGTCACAAATCATATCATTGATCACAAATTCAAAAAATTATAGATCACAGAATATTTTTCGGTCACGAATCAAAATTATAGGTCACAGCACCGCATACACCACCACTCTATAGCCACCACCACTGCACCACCACCATCAACACTTATGACCACCATCTCACTGCTGCCTCCAGAACCACCACCACCACCACCGTCGTCATCAAAACCACCACCACTTCCCGATAGTTGGTTGTAAAACCCCCGAGGTCACAAACACTTTCATACCACACCGCCACCACAACCGCAACAACCACCACCATGCCATCGCTACCAAATGCTCAAGCTATCATCAACCAAAAAACACCCTAAAAACCACCTCCACCACCAACCAAAAAAACCACCTAAACCAAAGATCCAAAACCACCACCACCATCGCCTCAGTTATCATCAATCTAATAATTACCAACAGAAAACACACCTAAATCCTAAGTAAATGAGATAATGAAGAAACCACCTAGTCTACCCCAAAAACAGTGTCTCAACAACCCCGTTCATCGTCGGAAAACATACCTAAACCCTTAGCGCCACCACCTCGCACCACAGCTAATGTCACAACCATCACCAACCAAATACCAAATTCTAAAAACTAAAAGTCAGATCCAAACATCAAAACCCTAAAACATTCTTCCACACACAAAGTTCCCTAGTAGCAGCCATCATCCCTTCCATCGGCAAAGCAACGTTATTCCTTCCACCAACAAAGCAACGACATGGCACAGTCGCATCTTCACCGTTTGTAGCATGGTTCATCGTCATTGCGCAACGATGATGGTGATGGGTTTTGAGCGGTGCAATTCCCAACCTCGTTTGTCTGCCTTCGTCGCTTCAAATTGTGGTGGTGGTTTTTGCTGTTGCTGGTTGTGGCGGCGGCGACGGAGACAATCATGACAATCATGTTGGCGGCAGTGGCGGCAACGATAGAGAGGAGATGTAGAGAAAGAACGGGTTTGGGGAAAATGATTTGGGATGGATTGGGGGGGTAAGGGTTGGTTTATAAATTAAATTATTAATATAAAAAAATTCTGATTTTTGAAATATCAAACTTCCAATCTGATTTTAGAATGTTGAATACTTAAAGTAGGGTTTGGTGTAATTTCCACTTTATTTTATCTCAAGGGTAGATTAGTCATTTTTCTTACATTACTACTTGAAGCCTTATTTTCTTGTATTTTCATTTCATTCGAATAATCAATAAACCCTAGCCTCCTTTTTAGCTTTTCTCTCTATATTTCTATATTGTTGGTTTAACATGGTATCAGAGCCGCCATCTTATGAAATTTGTTATTAAAGAATTTTATATCTCATCCATCTGAAAATCATGTGATTTCTTGAATGAAAATCATTTGAAAATTGTTTGTTTGGAGTATCATGTTTTATTTCGTATTCGATTTTTGGGAAGAGATGGTGAATTTTATTTTATTTTTCTGTGCACACATTTGAATTTGGACACTGCCGCACCGAGTTGGGAAATTGCAATCTGCCGCACCGAGTTGGAAATTGGGATAATTATTTTGGTTGGATAATTTCAAAGTTGAAATTTCGCTTCAGAATCTGGTATTTCATTAAATTGGTTGGATAATTACAAAGTTAAGAATTGCTTTGAATTGGTATATGTGCACAAGGATTTTGGATTTGGACATTGATTAAGATTTTGGTTTATTTAATTCTCGTTTGATTTTGGTTTGATTTCACATCTCAATATTGTGTATTTTTCATATTGGTTTATTTTGCAATGGCTGGAAGTCGGGATGATTCTCTCCAATCTATTAGTGTGCAATTAAATGGGAAGAATTATGCTTTTGGAGGTATGTGATGAGAAATTTTTTGAAGGGCAAAAAGATGTGGGGTTATATTTTGGGCACTTCTGTTAAACCAAAAAATGATAAGGTCGTTAATTATGTGGAGTTGGTAGATAATTGGGAATCTGATAATTGGAAGATTATTACTTGGATTAATAATTCTGTTGTCCAGTCAATAGGCACACAATTGGCTAAGTATAATACTGCTAAGGATGTTTGGGAACACTTATCTAGACTGTACACGCAGTCTAATTTTGCAAAACAGTATCAATTAGAGATGGATATTTGCGCTCTTCAACAGAAAAGTATAAGTATTCCAAAATCTTATTCTGCTATGACAGATTTATGGGATCAATTGGCACTCAAAGAATCTGCAGAATTACAAGCATTTGAACCTTATATCGCCCGACGGGAAGAACAACGACTGGTTCAATTTTCGATGGCTTTACGTGATGATTTTGAGGGACTTCGTGGGACAATCTTGCATTGCAGTCCTCTTCCTTCTGTTAACTCTGTGGTTAATGAATTGTTAGCTGAGGAGATACGCCTTAAATCTCACACAGATAAGGGGACTGTTCCATCATCTACTACTCCATCTGTATTCGCAGCACCTCAGAGGTCACATATCAATAATCAAAGTAGATCGCCTTCAAATATTGGACATGATGAATGTCGTTTCTGCAAGCATAAAGGTCACTGGAAGGGACAATGTCCTCTATTGTTAAATAGAGCTACCCAGTAGCAACCTCAACAACGATAGCAACAACATTGACCCCAACAACAATATCAACAACAAGTTCTTCCTCCATGGAAATTTGGAAACCAACCACCTCAACCTAACATTGTAGTTGCTGCACCATCAGTAGATCCACTAATGTTTGAGTAATTTCAGAAGTTTATGGCATCACAGTCAAATGCAACACCTCCACATGCAATGTCTGCCTCTTCTATAGGTTTATATGCTAGTTTTTCAGGTATATCATCCTCTTTATG